AACACACCATGAAATCCCCCCAATCTTCTCCAAAATCGAAAACCGCTCTTCTCGAAAATGAAAAAGAGGAAGTACAAGAACCTCCAATGTTTAGCACCACCAAGACCAAATGCAAAAAACTAGCATTCATCCCACTAGTTTTCCTCATTTACTTCCAAATCTCCGGCGGCCCTTATAACACTGAGTCCACTGTAGGTTCCGGGGGGCCTTTCAATGCCATCCTTGGCTTTCTCCTCTTCCCCATCATCTGGAGCATCCCTGAGGCCCTTGTCACTGCTGAGCTAGCCACCACCTTTCATGGCAATGGCGGCTTTGTTATATGGACTCACCAAGCCTTTGGTCCATTCTGGGGCTTCCTCATTGGTTTCTGGAAGTTCTTTAGTGCTGTCATTAACCTATCTTCCTACCCAGGTCTCTGTATAGACTACATTGATCCATTGCTACCAACTTTGTTGTCACACTTGCCTCACTATTTACTCATCTCTCTTTCAACCCTCTTGCTCTCAGTTTTTAACTTCATTGGTCTGCCTACAGTTGGCTATGCTGCAATATCTTTAGGGATTTTATCATACTTGCCATTTATAGTACTTTCTGTTTGTGCAATTCCCCAAATTGACCCTAGCAAATGGGTTTCTTCTGGCAAGATTAGCAGAAAAAGAAATTGGCCATCGTTTTTTAATTCGTTATTTTGGAACTTAAATTGTTGGGACAATGTCAGTACTTTAGTTGCGGAAGGTGTTAAAAACCCCCCCAAAACATTACCAAAAGCATTTCTCGCAGCTGGGTTGTTGACTTATTTGACTTCCCTAATACCTTTACTAGCTGCAATTGGTGCCATGTCTCTTGACCTAGATGATTGGAATGATGGGTTTTACACAGTTGTGGCATATAAAATTGTGGGGAAAAGGTTCGCAAAATGGGTTAGGGTTGGAGCCTTTTTGTCTGGCATTGGTGTCTATCAGTCCCAATTGAGCAGTTGTTCACACCAGCTTTTAGGCATGGCTGAATTAGGGTTGTTGCCTGGACTTTTTGGGGCGCGGTCAAAATGGTCCGGCACTCCTTGGGTGGGAATTTTGATATCAGCAATGATATCAATCTTGGTTTCATACATGAATTTTAAGCATGTCACATCTGTAGTGAATGTTTTGTTCAGTTTGAGCATGCTAGTCGAATTTTCGGCTTTTATATGGTTGAGGGTGAAGCTTCCGGATTTACAGAGGCCCTTCAAACTTCCAGTTACAAGGGTGAGAGGGCTGATAGCAGTGCTCTGTATTCCGTTTGGAATTTTGGTGTACATAACTTGTGTTGGCACAAAGGTTGTGTACTTGGTGATTGCTTTGCTGACCGTGTTTGGGATCATTTGGTACTTCTGCATGAAGATTTTCCAGGCTAAGATGTGGCTTGGCTTCAACCATGTTGTGGCAAAACTAGCAGATTATGAAGATTTGGGGTGAGTTTACAATTAAATTGGCGTTTTTTTAAACGTATATAGAATTTTATATACACAAAATTTCAATCAAAATAAAACTTTTTCTCTAAAGGGTTTGGGTTTTATGCTGGTGCTGATTCCATTTTTGTCCTTTGGGTGATCAATCTTGCAGCTACTATGGCCAATTTGTGAAGAAGTGATGCAAGTATTCAATATATCAAGAATGGAGCTGACTAGTTGTACATTTTAGTGAATTTTTAAAGGTTTGACGCATCCCTGTCAACTTGATAATTTATTAAAATAATAATGTAAATTTGTGTTATGATAAAGCTATCAATATATAAGGTGTTTATTAATTTTGTTTTTGTTTAAGATCAGCTGTCAACTGTGCTTAGAATGCATAAATTATAGACATAATAACTAGAACGTTCAGGATTTTTTTAATAAGCATCTTTATGGCCGATCAAATTGACCAATTCATTCCAATCTAAACAAAATAATTTAGCTGTTGTTTGTTTGGATTAGATTAATCACCGAAAAATCGACTTGATGTGATTGGTTTCTCAAAGAAAGTTGAAGAAATAGTGTTCCTCAGTATTATACATTGTGATCATGGGTTGAAAGAATTGGCTACAATAGAAATATTGAGTATTCATACCAGAGAAAATGGAGTTTAATTTGGCCTTGCTTTCAACTCAAGAGTCGCACACCAAATTAGAACTAACAGTAATTATAATTATGAACAATTATGTCGGGCTGTTTCTTTCAACCAGACCGAACTCTGAGCATATAAATTCGAGGCTAGAGAGAAAAACAGAAAGTTCTCCGCCATTGGTTCCTGCTATTGTCGTTTTTGGGGTCGAAGCAATCCCTCTTGACATATTCCCATCTTTACTGATGCTATATCTTAAATATCTTCATTTGATGTTTGTGCTCAATTTATCACTTTATTGAGAAGAGCCTTTATAATTTATGCCCTTCGAAAAATCCATCACATACTCTCATTTTTCAGACGGTTTTTAGGCGGTTTTGCAAAATTGTTCAAACATATTCATAAAATTGATATGTTTTCACCTTTACAAACTATAATGTGGGCTCATGACTACTATTTTTGTCAATTTATTTTTCATTTTTTTGCTTGTGTGTTTTATTAAGCAAACATTTGTGGGTCACAAATGTTAAAACAGTTTTCAAATGCCTAGTAAAGTTTTTTTCTTTTAAATACGACGAAAAATATTTCACAAAAATAAAAAAAAATTAACATTTTTCTCAAATTCTCAATAAACGTGGGTTACCATCACAGTTTTAAGGCAACTTTGCAAACTTGTTAAAAAATCGCCACACCTTCACTGCATTGATTTATGTAAGACTTTTCGTTGATATTCTCAAGTATGGAGTCTTATTTTGTCAACGTTTTGGACCCACTACTATTTTTGCACTTACTTTTCAGTTTTCGGTTTAAATATTCTATTGAAAATACATATGTGGCTCAATAAATGGTAAAACTATTTTCAATTGCCCTATAAAGTTATTCTTAATCATGAAAACAAAATTTAGCAAAAAATAAAAGTGGTTTTGCATAATTGTACAAATAAAAAAAAATATTAAAGCGGTTTTGTCCATTTATTTTTCAATTTTTGGCCCAAATATGTTATAAATATATTTTGTGGCTAAATAAATGATAAAAACGCGTTCAAATGTCTTATAAAGTTTTTTCTGAAACATGATTGAAAATATATTTTAAAATTAAAAAATATATATTTTCTCAAAAAATATGGGCTAACCATCGGGTTTTTAGGCAGTTTTGCAAAATTGTTATAAAATCTGTATGCATTCACCTTTGTTGCACCGTGAGGTTCTGAAAATTAATGTATGACATTTTGTTGATATTCTTGAGTATGGAGTCCTATTTCGTCAATGTTTTGGAGTTCATTATTGTTTTATCCATTTATTTTTCAGTTTTTAGCTTAAATATTATAATACATTTGTCGCTCAGTAAATGCTAAAACTTACGCTATAAAGTTAGTTTTTATCATGAAGGAAAAGATTTAGCAAAAATAAAAGATTTTAATTTATTTTTTTTCAATAAAGTGGGCTAACTATAAGCATGAAACTCAATGTTTATTGTAGATGATCACTAATAGCAATTTTTTATGAGTTTTTAATTACAGAATTGTGTTCTTCCTGGCTTTCAGAAGGGGTGGATAATCATGGCTTGCCACCAGTTGTTCTCCTTTTTGAATTTTTTTTCATTTTTTCAGAATTATGTTTCTTTTGGCAGTGACCCCTTGATAAACGCAGGTTCACCATTAATATTATCGATATTGTTCTTATTTAATCACATATCATTAAGTGTAAAGTTTTATCATAAAAGGCTTCAATGATATTAAGGATAAAAATGCATATATAAGTTGTATTTTGTTACATGCCTAATGCAGATTCTATTGTCCAATATTTCTTAAGTAATTCTATCTTCAACAAACCCTATCTCAATTCTTTAGCCATTAAGCACATGCGATCAACATCGTTGGGCTTGTCAAGAGAAAGTAGTATTACATTTCACTTTCAGTCAGCAAAAATATTTGCAAATTGCACGTTACCATCATATCAACTTCTTGCAGCTTGAGATACGATAAACTTGCAACATAAAAACTCAATCACTCACCACTTGGCATGGAAAAATCAGCATTGTCCAATCCAAGGTCGCAATCAAGAGATAACTAACATACCTAATTGTCGATTTGTTCAGAATTTGTACAGAGTTTGACAAATTTTTTTCCAAACTTTAATTTCAGTCGATTTTCTCCCCTAAACTATTATGTATAGCCACTTTCCCTTTACATTAGATTTAAAAAAAATTCATCCAATTTTCGATCTATTTTCATTACATGAACATCACATGACAATTGTATACGTACAAAAAGGTAATTTGGTTTAGTAAATTGGACGCAAAACCAATACTTTGCAACTGCTAATTGGACTTGCATGGCTAATTCAAAGTAAAAAGTGTACGAAGTCCACCATTTCAAGAGAAGAAGACGAAAAAGCTCCACATTAGGATAAAATTACTTTGTTACCTCAAGTATTTACCATGATACCAAAATGAATAAAAATTAGATTGAATTTGTTAAAATTAAAATCCATGAAAAAATTAACCACTTCTTAAAATTTTCGAAAAGAAAGCAACAGATTCCTCTATCTAATAATTGAAACTCATCCTCATCCTCTTAAAAAAAATATCCTCTATAATTGAATTCTATACACACAGCCAAGACATATATCCACTTATCCGCACGTGGCAGGCCGATTTCACACCGATCAAGATTGTTAAATGCATGCCACACTTTATGTCATGTCAAATTCAGCTGGCTTTACCCGAATCTCGTGTTCAGTTATCCATCCCCTTGAATTTGGTCGCTTTTTGCGACACTGTTACCCTTTGCCTTTTCGACCCTTATCCCTAACCCCTTGCCTTTTTTCCAATCAATCGAGTAAATAATCGTAGGGTATTGAAACGATCATGCAATATAATTATTGTTTCACTCGGACCCTTATCCAACTTGAATGTAACGTTTTCATAAACTAGTAGAAATCATATGGGGCCGCCGTCCATTTTTAGTATTTGTTTTGGAGCGAAAAAATAGTAATATTCGGCGTCCAATCCGAAACTAGATGACTTCGAACATGACACCAATGCAACCTGTTCCATTTCTACAGTTTCCACCATCTCTAACTGTTTCTATAAATTAAGGTCCATGGCCTGCGTCGCAAATGCAAATAGAATTCACTCCAAAAGCAAAATCCAATCACTTCTTCGCTGCAAAGCAACACACTTCGTTTTTTTCTTTTTTTTTTGGCAAAAATCCCTTCTTCCTGGGCTGCAAAAAGCACTTCTTGCTTTACCTTGCTGCAAAATTAAGCGCGCATCTCTGCTAAAATGTGGAGTATCGAGCTGACCGATTTTATTCCGGGTTTGCCTGCAGAACTGGGACTCGAGTGCCTGACTTGGTTGCCCTACACAGCTCACCCAGTTGCTTCCCGGGTCTGCCGTCCATGGCGGACTCTCTTAGAAAGTCAAGATTTTTACTTTCACAGGAAGAAAACCGGACGTACCTACAAAGTTGCATGCTTGGTTCAAGCTCTTCCTCCAAAGCTTGTTGCATCAGAATCTGACGTACCCAAATCCACCGAGTCACCGGCCTACGGAATCACCGTGTTTGACCCGGCCAGTCGTTCGTGGGATAGACTCGACCCGGTTTCTGAGTACCCAAATGGGCTGCCCCTGTTTTGCCAATTGGCAAGCTGTGAAGGGAAGCTTGTGGTGATGGGCGGGTGGGACCCGGTGAGTTACGACCCGGTCACCGACGTGTTTGTGTACGACTTCACTACTTCGCATTGGAGGAAAGCCAACGACATGCCGTCCAAGCGCTCGTTTTTCGCTATCGGATCGGACGCGGGCCAGGTGTACGTGGCGGGCGGGCATGACGAGAACAAGAACGCCTTGAAGTCCGCATGGGTTTATGATGTGAGATCGGACGAGTGGACTGAGTTGACTCCGATGAGTCATGATCGGGACGAGTGTGAAGGGGTGGTGATTGGGAGCGAGTTTTGGGTGGTTAGCGGGTACCGCACCGAGAGTCAAGGAGTGTTCGAGGGAGGTGCCGAGGTGTTGGAGTTGGGATCACGGCAGTGGCGGCTGGTGGACGAGGCGTGGGAGGCGGGCCATTGTCCAAGGCATTGTGTTGGAGTAGGGGACGATGGGAAATTGGTGAGTTGGGGTAAGTTGGACTCGGGGTTCCGAGTTGGAACGTGCGGAGTCATGCTTGGGGGTGGGACCCTGGTGGTGGGGTCGGAGTGCCAAGGTGCAAGTCAAGGGTTCTATATGGTGGAAGAAATGAAGGGACGTCAAAATGGTAAATTATATGAGATTAGTGTGCCTGATGAGTTTTCTGGGTTTGTTCAATCAGGTTGCTGCGTTGAGATTTAGATATTAATTAATAAGGATAATGACACATGAGATGAGAGTATATGTATGCTTTTAATTTGGGTGCAATCTTTTCTATTTAATGATAAGTGTAACATATAGTCTCTTTGTCTTATATTTAATGATATGTGTAACTATAATACTCACATGCAGCACATACACAATTACGTATGCCCTTAATTTTTGAGTGTCCCTTCGTTTCGGTAAATAGGCATTTGGACACATCACACTATAAAGAATTATGCTAGATTCAATAGTCTGACTCACGTGGTTGGAAAAAAACTTACATGCAACTTAAAACGTAAACATGAAATATCGTTGTTTTAAAATATTTGTTAGTTTATCATTTTATGTTTCTTGTAAGTTTATATCTCGTGGGATTACTGTGACCCTTCTTACGATTTGAAAGAGTTTACATGCATTTGATGAAATGCAAAACTTGAGATAGCGCCGAGATAGCATCCTATTGTCCTAGTTACACGTGAGTTTCTATCCTACGGTTATCTATAATCCTTTTGCGAACGATGAAATTTACATGCACCTGAAATGCAAATTAGTTGTCCCAATTGCGTGTAATATTTTATGATGGTGTTGTCTGTTAATCCTTACTTATGGCTCACAATGCGTTGACGGCTCAAGTTCGGCACCGACAAACATCCTATCATCCAATGACATGGGGGCAGTGATTCATTTATATAAAAATTGAAGGGGTATATGTACATGCATGCTTACGTATGTAACGTGCGGAAGGTGAACTGTATCTTGTTTGGCATATGGCTTTTCTTACGGATATTTTCACATCCCGGTCCGAAGCGGATCACTTTCCCGACCCGCTCTACCACCGTAGCACGATATTGTCCGCTTTGGGCTTACCATTCCTTTACGGTTTTATTTTTGGGAACTCAGGAGCAACTTCCCAGTGGGTCACCCATCATGGGATTGCTCTAGCTCTTTTCTCGCTTAACTTCGGAGTTCCCATGGAACCCGAAGCCAGTGAGCTCCCAAAAGGCCTCGTGCTAGGTAGAGATAAGAATATACATATAAAGATCACTTCCCTGGATGATGTGGGATGTCACAGATATTCTTTCATTTTGCATTCAGATTTTTTTAGCAAGCCGATTTATAAGTTTGTCTCCTATTTTATATGTGTAATTTCTATTTTATCTAATTTTTTTGAACATTTTTACCTTTTAAATTTATTTTAGGGGTGTAGTTCTATATATGTCTTCTTTTTTTATTGTATTTTTTTAAAGAGGAATAAGGTTTATGTTTTTCTTTTTTCTTATTATTTGGTTTTTAACTTTACGAGAAGTAATGATTATATCCTCTGATTAGGTGTGAAATTCGCGAGATAACGAAATGTGGGAAGATGAACTTGATCCGACCAGAATATAATTTAAAATATAGGTGGACTGGGAGGATTGGAGTGAACATGGGTTGAGGTTGTGCAGTCTAAAAGTTGGGAGTTCGTAGACTTGAGAGGGCGACTCAACAGTGTTCCTGTATACCTAGACACTGCCCTATTATTTCCATACGACAGAAGAAGAAAAAAGGAACAGTACTCAATTATTAGGCCGAATAGACATCACCTCATACATAAAACTAATTTTATTTAGTCAAATAGTACTAATCATGTTGTTGATCACTTTTATTATATAAAGAAATTATTTATATTAGAGATATAGTCATCAACATAATCGATTTTGTTTGTCTAAATACTCTATCTGTAGTGCACAATATTCGATTCCTTTATAACTAATTAGATAACTCAAAGCTTAGGATGAAAAAGAACGAGGTCCCCTAGGAAAGGTGACACCCTAGGCCGGATCAAACAAAAAGAAAAGGGATAAACAAAAGATTTGGATGTTAATTTGTATTGTCAACCTTAGGTAACT